GTTTTCTATTTTAGATAGTGAGCGAGATATATATTTTTTTTCATATGTGTGTGTGAGAGAGAGAGAGAGAGAGAGAGAGAGAGAGAGAGAGAGAGAGAGAGAGAGAGAGAGAGAGAGAGAGAGAGTTTGGATCGTACCTAGCAATGGGACAACGTTGTCATATTGTTTAAGTTTGGATCTTAAACTTAACTACAACGTTGATGCATTCTCGTTGCAGTAGTATTGCTCCCGTGTTATTTTATCTTAGCAAAAAAAAAAAAGATTGGAGATGGAAGGGGATAGAAAACTGGATAGATTAGGGCCACGAGATAAGCCGGTGACACAGCCGAGAGAAGAGCATGTAAAGCCTGAGAAGGAGAAACAAGGGTCAGAATGCATTATTCTTGTGTTAATTAACACACTCGAGAGAGTTCACGGTCGCATTGTGTATTTTACTTGTGTTTTCGAGTCCCACTGCAAGTGTAGCAGTTTATTTAAGTTGTTGTTTTCTATTAATCATTAATCATTCAAGTTGTCGTTTTCTATTAAAAAAAAAATATGAGGTCGTGTCATTGTCCTACGAGTGACGTCTCACTTTGGTTATCTGTCTATGTACCTGATTTATGCAATGGTTTTTGATTATGTGTGGCTGAGGGATCGATCTTGCAGTACAAACGTGACGTATATCTTCAGTGACATTAGTAATTTGATTTATTTAATTTGGTTGGTTTTGGTCTACGACATAGTTTTGTAGGTTATTAATTTTCTTTTAATTTGATTTTCAAAATTATAAAGTCTATTTGTAATGACTTTCAAGTCCATTAGTAATGACTTTCAAGTCCATTAGTAATGACTTTCAAGTCCACTAGTAATGACATCAAATCCACCTAATTGCATTTAAAGGCTATTGAACTTTAAAATCCACCGGTAACTAAAATCCGTTAAAATTCTCCATCCAATAACACCTAGCCATTTTTAAAAATACTCCTCTTTTCTATCTATTTTCAATAAAACTCCTTTTCAAATATGAAAAAATTTAAACTTTTAAATGGTTGATTGTTATAAATCATGTGGTGGATTGTCATAACAAGTCCAGTCCGGTCCTGCCCATCACAAGCCTGGTCCGTCCTATGTTGAGCAGGCTTAATCTTTTCCTTATTGTATTAGGGTTTACTCATAACCCCTTGTATCAATCCTTATATGATATGACTATGGTCGAACAAGACCCGAAGCACGAAGTGAAAGAAGCCGTTGGCAAGGAGCAACAAGGAGACCAGGACAAGCACGAAGATGAGGAACAGCACCTAGCCGAGAAGTAGCTCAAAGCGGAGGAAGCACTAGACGTCCCGGAAGATCCTCCAACACGCTCAAGGCTTAAGGAGCTCCACCCATCAACCAATGGAAGACTTAGGGAACTAGACAAGAAGCAAGCAGACGTGGCTCAAGTCTCCTCAATAATCATCACGGCTCAAAAGGTTCGGTAAAGGGTTAAGTGTTGCTTATGCACTCTTTTTCCCTTGTCAAGTTTTGTCCCATTGGGTTTTCTTGACAAGGTTTTTAATGAGGCCTAAGTAACACTTTCAAGGCCATTTACCAAGCCCAATTCGTGGGTACAAGGCCCATCACTTTGCCTTGGCCGATTTTCTATCTTTTCTCTTCATTCTTGCATTTAATGTTTTGTTATTTGCAAGACTTGGTGCATGGACTTGCATGAGTGTATTTCCAAGGCACTTGTGTATTTCCAAAGCACTTCTTCTCTTTCATTCCCCTCTACTATATAATCCCCCTCTATCTCTCATTTGTAACTGATCTAATCTTTTTATCAAAAACTCTTTCTAAAGTTAGATCTCTCTCTTGTTCTTTCTTTGGTGTGTAATATCCTTAGTGAAGTCCAAGTTCGGTAAATCAAAGGCTCTTCCGCAACCTTTGTGCAACCATTCGCTCCACATCCTTTGGTCTAAGTGATCTCACGATCCCTCATGTGCAAAGCCTATCCTTCTCTTAACTTCAAGAGTGTCGATTCTAGGAGATTCGTATTATGTGGTATCAGAGCACACTCTGAAAAGTTGAGTATTCTATCTTCTTTACCATCTTTCATCTTTTCCATTCCATCTTCATCCATAATCCATTGCATTTTCCGTTTTTTTTATTTTCGTCAGTTGTTTATTCTGGATTTTCTGTCAACTTGTCAGAATTTTTATAAATAACTGGCTCATCGTAAAATTATAAGTTCAACTGATTCTGAAACTAGAACGAGTCTAGTATTTTTAAAAATTATTTCTAGAATTTTTGAACTTGATTTTATAATTTATTTTGTAAAATCTAATTCATCTGTTTTTAGGCATAATTGTCATGTTTTTTTTTGTTTCGAACTAGTGACTGGGTTTGTGTTGTTTCAATGGCAGGGGAAGAGAAATCCAAGTCATCACGTTCGAGAATAAGTGCTAACAATCAAGTCTTCATTGATGCTATCACCAAGAAAATCACCAAACAAATGGATAGATTGATGAACGAAAAGCACGGAAAGCTTACAAAAAAAATTGACGAAAGACTTAAGCCGATGGAAGCACAACTTAAAGGAAAAGAAAAGATATCAGCCAAACAAGTCATCATCTCGGAGGGCAAGAAAAATAAAAAGGAGCAAAATAGTCAATCCCCGAAGAAGGAGCCGGTTGATAAACATTTCCCGAGTAGTCACTCATCTCACCGGAGCAGCCGAAGACTACGTGCGAGAAAAGAAATTGAACCACTCATAGCCGTCCAAAATCAGCAACTCTCAAGAAACAAGGAAGAACAAAGTGAAACCAACAATACGTAAAATCTCGCCTCGTCGCAAGCTAAGTGTACTCTTTCATCTCTCCAATTTTATTTTGTGCTTGATAAACTAACCAATTTTGAACCGGAGAAACCGAGTAGCATTGTTTCCTTTTCACAGGTTCATGAAGAAGCATCGCTAGGAAAAACACAAAAGAGTTTGTCGTCAAGGAGGTTCACGGCGATACTGGATCTTGCTTGAGTTACCGAGGTCTTTAGCTCCCGGTCCAAAACCATTCAGAATCCAATCGGTGTTCAAGAGGTAAACAACATGAGCCCTAAAACCATTGTTTCATGTTTATAATCTTAAAACCATGAAAACTTGAACATATGATTGTTGTTTGAAGTACTTTTCATATGAATATATAAAACCATAAAAATATGAAATTGTTGTTTGAAGTACTATTCACATGAAATTATAAAACCCTAAAACATGTGATTGTTGTTTGGACTGCTTTTCATGCGAAATTTTGAAACCGTAAAATATGAGATTGTTCTTTGGACTGCTTTTCATGTAACCCTAAAATCGATTATCACCTTAATATTTCTCTAAAATAAAATCGATCAAGCATGAACACCTAGAATTACATTATAAATTATAAAGTCTTAAGATCATGAATTATATGCTTGAAATTGCATGATGAGTGTTTGATCTTATAGATTTCGCATGCTAGGATGCTTGTTTAAAATCGCATGAATACTTGATATGAAAAGAGAATGTCGTTTGGCATGAAAGTATGAGATTATAAGATCATGAGAATATGAGATCATGAGAATATGAGATTATGAGATTATGAGATTATAAGATCATGAGAATATGAGATCATGAGAATATGAGATGATGAGAATATAAGAATATGCATAGACCTTGTCCGGGATGATTGTTCGGAGAAAAGGGGACGCGCCTCGGCGAGTTTATACACGTCCGAACTGATGCGCGGGCTACCTCTCTACCGAACGGTTGGAACAGGCAAAGGTAATAAGTGGTTTATAATGAAACCTAAGAATAAGCATATGTCTTTTCAGATGTCGAAACTCAATAACTTGGATTTTGCCGCCCTTAATCTCTCGGAAGATAACTATTTACAATGGGCGCTGAATACTAAGATTATCCTAAAATCAAAGGGGCTCGATGAATGTATTGTTGATTGCAATGACGAGCCCAATAAGATGAAATATAAGGCAATATTGATTATTTGCCATCACCTTGCGGAGAGTCTCAAGGATCAGTACTTGACTATTGAGAATCCCTTAGACCTTTGAAATGAGTTGAAAACACGATATGATCACCAAAGAACGGTGTTATTACCAAAGGCCATGTATGATTGGAGGAATCTCAGGATCCAGGACTTTAAGTCCGTGGATGAATATAATTCGGCCATGTTTTAGATAGTTTCTATCTTGAAACTGTGTGGAGAGGAGATAAGTGAGAAGGATATGTTTCAGAAAACCTTCTCCACCTTCCACACAAATAACGTATTGTTGCAACAACAATATCGTGAAAAAGGCTTTGAAACATATACAACACTGGTCTCATGTTTATTGCTCGCCGAGCAAAACAATAAATTATTAATGAGAAATAGCGAGATGAGACCTCCGGGATCAGCCCCACTCCATGAACCATAGCAGGTATGGCTTATTTAATTGAAGGGTATAGCCACGCCCATATATTATTGCCCAAGGGTACGCATTTAGAAATTTTAATGCGTTATATTCACCCAGCTCATAGAGGAGCCTATTAAGTTTCAAAGATATAAGAATGAATGGTTTCCATGTTGAAACCAAGGGCGAAGGAAATAAAGAGTTCCTTATGATTTATGAAAGCGCCCAAGGCCATAAGAAAGTCCTAGAGACTATTCCCGCTATATTTAACAGGCATTTACTGTGCTAAGGTCAGTATGATAGAAGCCAATGCCACGGTAAACAAAGAGTTTACCAAGAGATTCACTTTATGGCACGACCAGCTTAGCCCGGGTCGAGTATGATGCAAAAAATAATAATGAATACATACGGACACACATTGAAAGAATTAAGAGTTATCCCAAAGAATCTAAGGTGTGTAGCATGTTCATAAGGGAAACTCATTATAAGGCCATCATCAGTCAAAGTGATTAAAGACTATATGTCTAGATAATGCTGGTGAATTCCCGTCCCAAGCTTTTAATGCTTATTGTATGTCCACGGGGGTAAGTGTGGAACATTATATGGCACATGTACATACACAAAATGGTTTGGCTGAATCATTTATAAAAAGCATACAGCTAATTGCCAGACAGTTGCTAAAGAAATCAAAATTCCTGATCTCAGCTTGGGGACATGTTGTCTTACATGCAGCTGAATAATTCGCATCAGGCCATCTAGTGAACATTCATATTCCCCAAAACAATTTTTAACTGGTCATGAGCCAGACATATCCCATCTTAGATATTTGG